ATCCAGATTTCTGGAAGAAAGTGTCTCCTTTAGCCTCCATTTTGCCCAGAGGTTCTATATTGGAGGGGGGATAGATGATGGTAGGTGTGTTCATTCTCTGAGTTCTTTTCCAGGTCTTCAGTTCATTGCTTCCATGTATCCTTTGCTGCTGTTAACATTTCAGTTTTCCCATAATAGCTGCCTAGCTTTTCTCCTTAGTTGGCCAGCTGTGAATTGTAAGAGAGGGCTTTGCTTTGTGAAAGACAGAGGGGCCTCAGCAAGCCAGTCTGTTCCCGTCGTACTCTAAACTCAGGACAGATTCTATTAGCCAAGTAAAATAACTTTCTCTGCCGAATTTGGACAAGTCTTTAATTGATAATGTCCATATGGTGCTACCACTTGGTTTTAAGCCCCCACTCCTATGCACCGAAATGCATTGTATCTCAATTTTGGCAAAATGCATTTTAACAAAAACTATCGTCAGAACGCTGGGGACCACTCCACTCATTCTCATTCAAGCAAATCAAGCAGGTACAAGAGGGTGGTCAATGAGAGCTGGGGGTTTCTCCTCCTTCTTTACCCTGGAATGAACTGAATCTGCCCTCACAGATACCCATTCTTCACTCGGACCCCTTCAAAGCAGCTGTCAAAGGAATTCTGTAATTCTCTTACCCCACCTGCTAGCCTAAGACTCATCTGGTTACTATTGCCTAGACAGCGGGTATCTACACAGCTCCCAGCCTAAGCAGCCTTACATGCAAAGTCCTTCTTGCTTTCATTCTCTGCAAATCCACTAGGCAACCTTTTGCATCTGCATGGTGACTGATGGTCTTCACTAGAATGAGAGCTCTCTGAAGGCAGGGGCTTTATTTATAGATAGCCAGATACCATCCCACTCCTCCCCTAGAAGTTGCTGTCTATTGTTGTTCGGTCATTTCAAGTCACGTCTGACTCTTTGTGATTCCATTTGGTGTTTCCTTGGCGAAGATGGTGGAGTGGTTTGTCATTTCCTTCTCAGCTCATTTTACTGAAGAGGAGACTGAGGTTCTGTGACTTGCCCAGGGTCACACACCTCCATGCTAGCACATGGCATTGTGTAGAGTAGGTGCTTAATCAATGCTTATTGAATGACAGTTGTTGAATTCAGTTTTACATTCCAATCATCTTTTTGACATATTCATAAAGACACTATGTAGACTCTCTCTCTCTCTCTCTCTCTCCCCTTCTCTCTCTCTCTCCCCTTCTCTCTCTCTCTCTCTCTCCCTTCTCTCTCTCTCTCTCTCTCTCCCCTTCTCTCTCTCTCTCTCTCTCTCTCTCTCTCTCTCTCTCTCTCTCTCTCTCTCTCCCCCTTCTCTCTCTCTCTCTCTCTCTCTCTCTCTCTCTCTCTCTCTTCTCTCTCTCTCTCTCTCTCTTAGTGTGTGTGTATTTCTCAAATCTCAGAGTTGGGTAGACTTCTTGAGGCAGATAAGCGAACCAGTGAATGGAGGGCTAGGTTTGCAGGTAAATCAACATTAGCTCAAATCCTGACATATACTTATTAACTATGTGACTCTGGGCAAGTCAATTAATCTCCCTAAGCCTCATTTTGCTCCTTGGTAAATTGAGGGAGAAAATCTTGATTGTCTCCAAGAACCTTTCCAGATCTAACTCTCTAATCCCATAAACATTTTTCCCCAACCTGTAGCTTGAAGAGCACATTGCCTTCACTGCACATCCAGCACCTGCTTGAAGACCTCTAGTATGGGGGAGCTCAGTACTTCCTGAGGCATCCCATTCTACTTTTATATTGCTGTAATGTTAGGAAGTTGGGCTGTATTATGAGAAGCTGACATTCTTTTCTCCATCGCCAATTCTTGACTCTAGTTCTGTCCACTGGGGCCAGGCAGAATTAGTCTAATCCATCATTCCGTGGCAGCCTCTCAATGCTTGAAGACAACTCTTCTGTCCCCTTCCTTCCTTTCCCCCTACTCTCCTCAAAGCCAAACATTCTTTCATTTCACTGATCCTCACATGACATGGTCTGGCTCCTGAATGCGTGTGTGTTCCAGCTTGTTAAAGTGCTTCGTATGTGGTGCCCAGAATGGAACACACTACTTCTGCGTGTGCTCTCTTTGGCAGAGCCCCCCTCCAGGCAGTTTCGCAAGTAGGTTTGGATTGCGTCTTGCTGATGGCCCTCAAAGAGTGAGGAGAACAGGTATGTGATCTTGCTGTATCTATTGTCTGCATTTACTGGGCAAGTGCCCATCATGTGACGTGGGAGACATAGTTTTGTTCTAAAAGAAATCAGAATGTATAACAGTTCTAGGGACTTCCGAATGACTGTGTGTCAGGGGAGGGGAGAGGACAGATAAGTTCTTCCATGCTCTGCCCAAATCTCAGAATTGGAAAGGACTTCAGACTTCATACATCACTACTAAGTAATGCTCCAGTGTTTGATTGAAACTCAGCCTAGCCTATTGATACCCAGCTCTGCTTACATCATATTTCTCCCTTTCATAGCCAGGAGTCAAGTTGAGATTGAATTCTTTACAATTTCTACCCACCGATCCTGGTTCTGCTCTCTGAGGTCAAGAGCAGAGGGTAGAATCTATTTCATTTTCATGTAACAGCCCTTCAAATTTAAAAAAAAAAGTCTCTCCTTCATCCTCAACCCAGCATTTTCTTATTCTCTCTTCTCTTTAGGCTAAACATCTACATTTCTTTGAACTGGTCTTCACCATTTTTATCACTCTTCTCTGGGTGCCCTGTCTCCTCAACATCCTCCCCAAATTGTAATGCCCAGAACAACACACAATACTTCAGCTGTAATTTGACCAGCATAGAGAACAGAAAAAATGCCCCCTCATGTTGAACACTCTCCTTTAAATAGGTTAAGTCCTTGTAGTTTATTTTCCTGAAAGTGTCAAGCTTTGTCACAAATGACCTTGGATGTCACTAATACTTTAAACCCAGCATAGATACAATGGATCTTGCTTTACATAAAACTAGAAGGCACTTTTGAGATGATCCAATCCAATCCACTTATTTTACAGAGAGCCGAACAGGCCCTGCCATGAGGAAGTGACTTGCCCAGGATCATGTATCAGTCAACATCTCAGGAGGGACTCCACCAGAGGTGTTCCTGGCTCCTAGTCATTGTTCATTCTATTACACCATGCTTACCTTAGTTGAAACCTCTTGGTCCAGGAAACCTTCTGGAGGTTCTGGGAAGATTCAGGGACTTCAATGACTCTTAGAGAGGCTCTGACTCCCTGCCTTAACTTGGCTGTTTTCAGATGGACTAAAGGTGGTGAGCCCAGCAGGTGGTCTGAAGGCCATTCACCTTGTCATTCCCTAATGCCCAACTGCCTCCCAAGCAGAGAAATAGTTAACTGAGCCGAAGTTATCCCTGGTTCTTACTGTGTTTTTCTTTCTCTCCCTTTTGCTACTGCTCTTTAGCCCCAGATCCTCGTCTGATCAACATTTTGCACACAGTAGATGTTCCATCTTGCAGTTCGGTAGGCTGCGCCCCCTTCCCCCCCCCACCAGCTCACACACCCCTTCCGTGGCTGCCTTGGGGCCCTTTTCTCCTCGGCAGGTCTTGGCCAGGGGATGGTTTCTCTCCAGTTTGGTAAAGGAGGGGACAGAGCACACTCGAACTGCAGTTCCCTAGCTCTGCCTCTGAGAATTTCTCATCCAAACCTCAATCACGTAGGATTGCGTAGAGAGAAGAGGAGAGACAGAAAAGACAGAAAGAGAAGGGGGAGGGAGGGCGAGAAGGAGGGAAACACAGGCAGCCGCTGGGGGCTGGGGGAGGGGGGGAGGAAGACCAATGCCATCAGTCGAAGCCCAGGAAGAAAATGGGCACAGCAGCCCACGCTCGATCGCTGCCCAGCCGCTCTTGACGGCTGGATTTTAACGCTCTCACCCCAGCCCCCCTTTTCTTTTTCCCAAGCTGCAAGGAACAAGTTCGGAAGGCTTTCCCTTTCTCCACCCCACCCCCCACCCCCACCTTCTCTTCCCAGTCATTTGCCCCAGCGAGCCTTCTCCGCTTGGAGTTTCCTCTTCCAGACCAGAATGAGCCCCAGCCAGAGTGAACAAAAGCCTGGAACCCCAATCAGAGCCGGAGCCGGAGAAGGAGCTGGAGTCCCAATCTGAGCCAGATCTGCCGCGGGCACCTAGGGGTCTGTCGGGCGGACGGGCCAGCCCTTTCTGGGCTCTGACTAAGCGCTCGATACTTAGCTCCTTGCGAGCTAGGCTCAGTCCTGAACTTGACCTCCCGCGCCCACCCGGGGGCGCCGATGGATTCCCTGGACCTTCCTCTCCGTCCGACGCGGGAATGCACCTTGCGCTGAGCCACACCAGCACCCAGCTGCTGCGGGGCGGGCTTGGGGCGGTGTCGGCTGCGGTCGCTTGCGGACGGCGGGGCAGGCTAGCTCCTGGGCAGCCTGTGCCCCTTGGGGAGCAAGCTGTCGGCGGTCTCCGGGACCTCGGCTCTCCCCGCGGGGCTGACGCGAAGGGCCCGGTGGGCCGGACGATGATGTGGCTCTGTGCGCTCCGGGAGCTGCCGCGCCTGGCAGCCGCCGTCTCAGGCCAGCAGCCGCCGAAGGGCAGGATGATGTGTGCCCGCAGCGTGCCGGTGCCCGGCGCGTCCTCCCCAGCCGCCCCCTCCTCTTTTTCCTCCGCCTGCTTCTGCTGCTCCGGACGTGTGTTACCTTCCTCCCAGGGCTGGGATGGGGGCCGCAGAACTGTCTGAGCGTCCGCGGCCGCCTGCGTCTCGGATCTAATCGATCGGTCTCGCGGTTGGGCCGATTGCTCTCTGTGTGCAAGCCGGGGACGCTGCTCTGAACCCGGGGCGAAGGGCTAGGCGCCTCGGGTGCGCCGGCAGGCCGACAGGCAGGGAGCAGGGCCCTCGGGGCCATGCCCTGAACCCTTGGACCCTCCAGAGCCAGGGCCCTCCTCCTTCTAGGCCGGCCCATGGCAGGGAAACTCTGCTAAAGCGGCCCAGAGAGGGGCTGGGCCGCGTTCAGCACCCCCAGAGACTCCCCCCACCCCAATCGTGGGCAGAGCTTCTCCGACGGGGCCGGAGATCAGGGGTCCCACTGCTGAGCCCTTCCAGACGCTCATTTCCCAAAGGTATTCCCACTGTGCGGATCTAATCCAGGAGGAGAAAGGGATTTCCCTCCTGCAGACTGGGCTCTCTATCCCCTCCTCCCCGCTCCGTGCCCTCGCCGGGGGGGCGGGCGGTTCCCGGGGGCGCTAGGCTCCCGGGGATCTCCCTCCCAAGGTCCTCCCCTCTTCTTTTCCTTATTCCCTCCCTTCCTCCCTCCCTCCCTCTCTCTTTCCCTTCTTCCCTTGTCTACACCGCTCGTGGTGAATCGAGGTTCCCACAGCTTCTGGCGTTCGTGGACCTAGCCCCACAGCTGGCAACAGCTGCCACAGCATCCCAAACCTGGTGAACCACCAGTACCTGGACCCCCACCCTACCTTACACAGATTTGTGCCCCCAACCCCACCCCCACCCCCGGTAGCCTTTGGCTTCCAGACGCACAGCCGTCAGGTCCGTTTGGAACAAAATATAAATCAACCGGTCCCCACAAGCACCGCGGAAGCTCGGGAGTGGTGGGCGATGTCGGTAGCGCTGGCTGACCTAGGGAGAATGGTTCTTTCGGTCTTGCAGAGGCCGCCAGCGGGGACTTAAGTGGCTGCCCAGTTCTTCCTCCCATCCAGCTTTGGTGGCTTCTCTTCTACAGGCCCCTATCTTTTACTCACTTTTTAGCCTTTGTTCTTGGTAGCAGAGGGCACGGCTGCCCGCCGCGTGCCCACCGCTTTGTACACAGGTTTTATAGCCAGTTCTCACTTCCTCACCTTTGCTGGGGGGTCCCGGTGCAGCCAGGACCCCCCGGGCAGGTGTTTAGGGACCCGGGCCCGGAGCCGCCTTCTGATTTGGGACCGCACCTCAGCGTACACACAGTCCAGAGCCGGGCCGGACTCCAGGCGAACCTGGCCAAGCGCCTTGCTCAGCCTAACCCGGACAGCGGAGTCCCACGGCTCCAAGACTTCGGGGCCAGCGTGGGGGACTCCTTGGGGAGTAACCCGAGTTCGGAGTGACCTCGGCTGGCAGAGAGAACCACCGTTCCCTCATTTTCTGAAACGGCTCCCCGGGAAGTTTAACACTCGGGAATACCTTCGTTTTGTCTCCACCAACTAACAGCTCCTTCGTGGTTCCCCCAATTGCCCACGGATCCAAACTGAATTAGTCGGCTGCTGGGCGCCCCGTTTTCTCTCCCGCAGCCAACACAGAACTTTCTCATCACTGCCTCCCCTTTGCCCAATCGAGGCACTTTCGGGGTCCTGACTGACCTGCCTTGGATTAGAAGGAAAGGAGGTCAGCCCTCCTTCCTCTCCGGCCCCAGGAGCCCCCAAGGGCTGGAGCGAGGGCCCCGACGGCTGAGCCGCGATGGCCGCGGCTATTGCCAGCTCGTTGATCCGCCAAAAGCGTCAGGCTAGGGAATCTAACAGCGATCGGGTTTCGGCCTCCAAGCGCCGCTCCAGCCCCAGCAAGGATGGGCGCTCCCTGTGCGAGAGGCATGTCCTCGGGGTATTCAGCAAGGTGCGTTTCTGCAGTGGCCGGAAGAGGCCCGTGAGGCGGAGACCAGGTCAGTGGCAGCAAACGAGACCCGCGGCTGTCGTCCCTCCCTTCCCCGACCCCCAGCCGCCTCCTCTTTCTCATCACTTGGGCTCCAATTGAGCCCCTTTCTTCGCCATCCCACCTAGGGTTCAGCAAGCGCCAGCAATAAGAATGAGCGCCGGAGGCCTGGGCCGGGATGTTTCCTTCCCTCACCTTGCATCCTGTTTCCCTTCCAAAACCCTCTACTAGCTGCTTTCCCTCCTTGCCTAGTCCCTCCTGGCTCTGTCTTCCACGTCCTGTCAGCTCATCTCAGGATCTTCCTTTCCACACATTCCTCATCCTTGTTCCATGTGTCCCTTTACCTGTAATCATCTTCCCACAGTCTTTGCTTTCTCTTGGGAGCTGGTCTCTAGCCTTCCCTTTCCCCTCCTTTTGCGTTCGGGGGTTTGAAATCGGTAAGGAGGTGAGGCCGGCAGGCCAACTGTCGGCGACTCTGGCCCTGATGGGTGAGTCAGTTCTGGAGAGGCCAAAGCTAGGCTTTGTCTGCGTTGTCTCTAGCTTCTTGGTTTCCCTTTTCTTAACTTAAAATGCCGTTAAATTCTATAATGGAGAATGGGGGAGGGAGGCGATGAGACAAGCAAGAGCCGTATCAGCCCACTAGTGCTTATTTTAGGCGAGGATGGGCACTACTTTGAAGGAGAGCCAGAATCCGGGTTCGGAAAAATCGGAACAAACCAAATTCCCGCGCGCTCTCTCTCCCCCCTCTCCCTTATCTGGTTGCTTGAGTGTGAGTGCATGACTCTAAGCATTCATTTCTTCTTCCTGGACTTCTAAGAAGAGGCCAAAGAAGAGTCTACTGTCTTCCACAAAGAAAGTGGGGGACAACAAAGGTTGGCTGGTTCGTTTAACCTTTTGCATTTCTGGTTAGTTAGTGTGTTTTCCTTGGGCCTAGGCAAAAACATTTTGGATGATGCAAATACTTGAATGGAAGAGTCACTTTCTTAAAGTCTAGTAAAGTTAGCTTAAGTTTTAGCTGAGAGATTTGAAGATATTTAATTATTGCCCAAATTAAGGTGAGTGAAGGGTACACTTCTTATTTATCGTGGACATCTAATATTAAATGAAAAGAGAGCAATCACTTATCTCTTGTGTTAGTAAGAAAACAGCATCACAAGGTTTTATATTGGGAAGAGAACGTGGGGATCACCTGAAATAACCCCTTGCTATCATGGAAGAGGAAATTGAGTCCCGGAGACAGGAAGTTACTTGCCATTGGCCATATGAATATTAAAAAGTGAATTATGATCTAAACCAAACCTTCAGAGTCAAAATCCAGTGCTCTTTGTACTGAATTTCAGGGCCTCATAAATGTAAACAGCTCAACCAAACAAGACCGTGGTCTGAATAGTTCCCTAAAACCCCAGAGTTAATTCACAGGGCTGCCACCCTTTTTGCTCTTTTTTTCATTTTAGTGTTCATGGAAAAATGTCAAAGCTCTGAATCCCCTTGACTATATTTCTAACCTGTAGCTTGATCAACCCAATTATGTGACTAAAGAAATCACTGTTCTTTTACTGGACTCCCCTTTTCACTAAATAGACATTTCGCAGTAAAATAACACCGAAGCTGAGAGAATAGTGTCCTGTCATTGGCTGCTTGTCATGCTTCCATAATTATCTTCTTAGAACAGTGAATTTCAGGCCACCTTGGAATTTATCCTCATTTTTTTTTTACCTCACCATAGTACTCCTCTCTTTTCATCTGACTTCATGCATATCCATGTGTCTTCTCAGAGAGATTCCTGATGGTTAGTTTTCTAGTTGAAGTTTGCCAGATAAAATAAGATATTCCAAAGATGTCAAAGCTTGTTAAGACATCCAGAGGGTTAGTGCAGCATGCATTTCATCTATCAACCCAAGGATTTAATCAGTTCTCAAACTGGCAAATTTTCTGGTTTTGAGATCGGGTGCTATTCTTAATACTAACAAAGCAAAATAATGAATCTGTTGGTTTGCTCTCAGCAACCATGATTCACATTGCTTGGGGAGAACCTATTTATAGTGAGCCCAAATCTCCAGACTGACAGCATGGATCACAGCACCAGACAGGGCTTTTTAATGATTGGGGGGTGGAAAGGGAGTGAGGTAGAGAGAAAACTTGCTAAAATCAAAAGAATATAAAATTCAGAGTCATTCTATGAAGGGACTTTTTTTCACCCTACTCTGGCAAACAGTCCCTTTCTGTCCTGCCTTACCTGGATGTTGCCATTCATAAAATCATCTCTGGATGAAGTATACAAACCAGGTAACAAATGGCACAAGAAGGTTAAGGGAATGGGCATGGTAACAAATTTCTCTAGGATGATGAAAACTGCTTGAGTCCAGACCCTTTGACTCCCAGGTAAAAAGTTTGTTATTTGCACGTGGAGTCAAGTGCACATGAGGCAAGCAAGGCCGAAATCACCTAGCAGCTGAGAGACTGTAGGTGATTTGCCTCCTGACTGGGGAAATTCCTCTTTCTGTTGCTTAGTACCTTGACTCTCCCTGTTGACCCATCTGTGGATAAGATACTGACAAACAATTATTAGTGAACCTTGATAAATTATATGATTCTCTTTGAGCAAAGGTGGAGTGTGGAATTAAAGCAAAACCAGAAGAATGTTGATAGCTATGACATTATACTCTAAGATTTGATGTTTTCTTTATTAATATGCAATAATAATGTTCCTATTTTCAGATCAATGTTTGTAGTTTGGGGGATAAGAGAGGACACTTGGGAATGTCAGTCATTAATGCTTTTGAAAGCATCACTTTCAAATACTGTACCCTTCTAAGTACCTTACTAGATTGTGAGAAAATGAACTGCAAGGTAGGGGTGCTTGGGATTAGTTGCCTAGATGCTATTCTGAGCTCTGTTTCAGGGGAAGGATTGAGGAGCAAAATCTGAGGGGTCCCACACTCACTTCTGAGCCACAAACTGTCTTTGGAAGCACTTGTGTTTGATATTTCCTCATCTCATGATCACCTGGATTTCAGAAGTCTGTGTATGAGTATAAAACAGCTGTTTTAGAAATCACATTGTTTGGGGAGAACCTATTTAATGTGAGACCAGATATCCAGGAAAGTAGCAGGCCCCTTTGACTACCATAAAGATGACCTTCCTCATTGGTACATTAATGTTGTTCTATAGTACAAGGGCTGTCTTATTCTTCCCCAACTCCAGCCTTCCCAGGCCTCTCCCCTCCCCTTTTATATTATTGTCGTGTAAGCAAAAGTAAATGAAAGCTGGTGTAGAGGAAAGCACATGAATAGCGTCCGACCCTCCGAAACTAGTTGGAAGTGAGAGAGCTATTGAATGGAGTGTGAATCCTACACGTTCAATAAGAGAGATTTTCTCAGGGAAATGATATAATTCTAAGTGAAATGATAGGGGTATGTATGTGTGTGTGTGTGTGTGTGTGTGTGTGTTAAGTAATGTATTTATTTTCCCATTAACTAATCACTTACGTATATTTGGTCAGGGATTCATTTGGAGATACTAAATAGTGGACTTGATGACTTTTGAGGTCCCTTCAGAATCTGAAATTTGGTGATTCAATATGAGGAGAGATCTATCCAGAAACCAAACAGGCATGAAGTACAATCAACACCATCTCACTTTTCTTCTCTATGGGATCTTCTTTCCTTATACATTAGAAACATTGAAAAAATTCATTAGAAACCCCTTTTCATGGTATAAAATACATATACCCAAAGACAGATCACAATTATTTCTTAAAGCTCCCCAAAAGCTGTGATCTATGATCTGTGCTTTAAATACTTCAAGGAAGTGAACCTAAATTAAAACTCATTTTCATGAAGTTTCAGTGCTCTTATTTGTGTAGGCACTTACTCTTTCCACTCAGACCAATATTGTTTATCTGAAAAGAATTCTGTACCCTTCATGATTTCCTAGGTTAAGTCTGCTTTGGATGGTAATCTTCCTGTGCCACATTTTGCTATCAGACAGTCTTTGACATAGAGTATTGAAAACATCGAAGGCAAGGAGGAGTTGAAGAAGCCAAACATTAGTGAATGGAACCAAATGCTCATCATCTGATCTATGAAAGGGGAAAGATATTTTCTAAATGGCTTGAACTCTTAGTCAAATGGGCTTCTCTCTCTGGTGAGGTACACTGAGACTGTAGTTTAAAATCCCCCCTCTCAGAAAAATGACTCATGATTCTGAGCCACAAAAATTGGGAAAATTAAATTCATTTGGCTGGACATTTATCATCAAGAATTCTTTCTTCTCAGAACCCCACCAGAGGGTTAAACTGGCATTTTGCATGGATTTTCTCATCGTCTTTCTACAACAGTACATTCAATTCTACAAATTATGTTTCTATTGTAAGTGTGTGTTGTCCTTGTAGCAACTCCCATGATCCCTCGATTCTTTTTATCCCTCAGAAATCCCATCAAGCAATACAGGATTAAAACTTTGAAGTTTTAATGAAGTTGATGTTCTTGGAGAGAATTAGAAGACCAATTTGCCAAAATGTTAACAGCCTTTGAGTTTGGTGGGAAGGAACTTGGGGAGAAGAATGTTAGGAGCCTAAGCATGACTTACAAAATGAGGAACTCTTTCATCTCCTGACACTCAGTCACTGTACCTCTCCTTATCATACATAGATATCAAATATCTGTTGGTATAGTCTGTTTCTTGATAGTTGAGTTCCCAAATAATTTTCTCTGAAAATGATTGTATTCTATTACACTTTATTTGCTTGTAGTTCATTGGACTTTGTGAGCATCGTGAAATTTATTACTAGGCGTTGCAGGCAGGGTGCCTGCCAGCCACCCTGGTGAGAGACCCACCCCCAGATCTCAGTGTAGCATAATGCAATTTAAAAAGAAAATGGTACTTCAACAGAGACAAGTTGTCATTTGGGTATCATCCTTGCCACACATCAGTATAGCTCTGGGGGTCATCATAAAATCAGTACTGGCATTGCTCCTGGTGAAGATGGGTACGTCTTCCCCTCTGACT